TACCACCCTCGTTGCATCGGTGAAACAGTTTAATCTTCGAGCAGGCTACATCTGTCGCGCGATTCTGCGTTACGTGGATCGTTTAATAATGTAGAAAAAAAGGTTCGCGTTGATAGGGAATTACAAATTGGATATTACTTCGCGCGAAACGAATCGATTACGTTCGATCGATCCTGCGGTGATTAACCCTTTCGCTACGGTCGCCTCTGCTCGGTAACTGTAACGTTTTTTCCTATCAAATTACCTAACTCGATAAATTTCTTATCCTCTGAAACAGGTATACAAGGCGGGATTTTGAAACTTATCTTCTTAGATAGCTCAACTTCGTATAAAAGAACGAATCTATTCCTCTTTCAATTTCAGTTTTTCACCACTCACTTTATTACGCGAACATCTAGCACTTAATGGGAATGGAAATTAATTTTCCATTTCTGAAATGAAACGAAGGAACGTAGATATGTACCACTGGTTCAGAAGGAGGAATCGTTTGAACCTTATTATTACTTTTCAAATCTTTGCAGAAGCAGAATCCTTTTACTTTGAACAAAATTCCGTAAAAGCAAATGAAATTTAAACGAGTTTAAATAAAAGATTTAATAAAAAATTCTAAAACAAATATTCCAATCGCAAAGTTAATTCGTTTTGAAATTCGAAAAATCAATGAAAGGGTAAATAACTCGTCCATTAGTTCTTCGAAATCAAAATAAATTGATGAAATATGTGGTTAGTTTTATTTCAACCATCGAAAGGTACCTTCACCTTTGAATATCCAGCCTCAATTTCCAAAATCAACAAGAATTTAGCAGCAAGTCGCAATAGAAAGATTCTAAATCAATACTCTGTGTAACTTTGCTTGAAAAATACCAGGGACGAGCATCGTGACCACGCGAAACACGTGAAATTGGCCGTTTCCGGGTCTCGAAAGTCGTGGCAACCGGGTCGACCAAGTCTCCCAAGGGCACAAAAGACCCTTAGACAGAAAGGAAAACTCGAGGCCGCGTCTCCGCCCTGTAAATCGCGGACTCTCGACGGATAACTGGCACGAATCCAACGGAAACGTTTCTACGATCCGCGATACCGATCCCGTCTACCGATGCAACAACCATAAATAAAGTTACGAAGCAACAAAAATTGTATTTATAACGGAGACTCAATGAAATACGAGCTCCATCGTACAATTTCTAGAACAGCAAGAAATTTTGGTTGATTTTGTACAACTTGTGATTCTTGTTAAATCTGTAACGCGCTTTCCACGAGATTAAAAGAGCTTCAATGTTTTATGAACGTTGGTAAATAACGACGAATATGTGTTTTTTAAAAGTGGTACGAGAAAAAAGATTTTATATTTAAAAAATAGTACAGAGTGGATCGTGAAAGTGGGTTTCGTCACAAAGTTGCACCGTTTGATGGCAAAATGCGTCGGTAAAAAATTCATTTAATAAAAATAAAATGATTGAAACGTGGAAAACGTGTAGGTAAAGTTTCTTTCAACTTCATTGTAACGAATGTTTCCTCGAAATTCCGGGGAACAACGAAGCTGAAAGAGTAGTTAATTGGGAAAAGCGACGTCGCATAAATTTTTAATAGCGTACACCTCCGGCCAAGTAAGTAGCCCGCCTCGTTGTTACCTGTACGCTTTACGAGGTCAGTGATTACATTAATTAGGCGCGACGATGTATTTTCACGAGGAGAACGAGCCTCGAGCGGATTTGATGACGGTAAGGCTCTTTGAGATTGTTTTCGTGGGTACTTAAAAAGTTTTCTTACGCCTACCACCGCTGTCTCTTCGTCGGCCGCATTGTAAAGGGAACAAGACCGAAAGTTTTCTAGATAAAATGGAGCCGGCCAAGCCGGGAAGAATTTCTTTATTACGATTTCTCGAAATACCCTCTCCAGCTTTGCATTCTTTTCGAGCGTGTTTTAAATGCAAAACACTTCTCCCGGAAACGGAGTCTCGACGCCCGTTAACGGGGATTTTATGCTATCTCTCGCTGCCCCACGATTATGCTGACAATTTTCCAAAATTTATTTTGACGTTTCAATTTTTCAAACTCCAATCTAACATAAAATAATCAAACAAATTATATTCTTTTACAAATTCTAATAACACCAACTGCGATATTCCTTGTTCAAATTATCAGAAATAATGTAGAGTGATTCATAGATCTCTCTAAACGTATCAAGGCATTAAATTTGATTCAGTTTTGCTGGCAATTTTTTCCAACATCTGACTATGCAACGAAGAATTTCAAACGTTAGATGTCTAACACCGATATCGAGCTAGAAATTTTTTTTAAATTTGTTGAATAAATTAGAGGATATTTCTTGCAAATGGTTCATTGAAATCAATCGATACGATATCGTTTATACGTGTACGATCGCGTTACGACTAATAGACTCTGCTTCCAAAAGTGAAAGTATCATTGCATTTCACAATGCCTGACTGGTTTTGCTACTCCAAAAATAAAAAGTTTCTTTTGTAACGTTGCTGATACGTACTCAAGGATTTAACAATGTTATCCAAGATAATTAATCAATTTCATGCTTAATCAATACATGGAATTAGAAATGGCTACGGCTAGAGGATTAAGATTCGAAATTTGAAACAGATCCGCGTCACGGAATTCCATTAAAGCGTTATTTCATCTCTAAGCTGCTTCTAATGCCACGTTTGACGCAAGTCTATCCAGAACACAGACAGATCCAGTAGTATTTAAAGACACATTGACGCAGACGGTTTCGTATCTTTGAAACGACGTCGGTGGGCGGAGGATGCTAAGTGTCCGGAAGACAGAAAATGGTTTTCGGCACCTACTTTTAATACATTAACATTTCTTCCTTGTTCTTCGTAATTTTTTTTTTCTCTCCTTCTTACGCCCGTGTGAACACGTGAAATCGTACGTACGTGCATACAAACAGGCTCCTCTATCTTTCTTCCTTTTTTTCCCCCGCTCATTTTCTAAAGCGTGTCGTTGTCTGTTTCACGAGACACAATACACAGACTGTTCCGTGAATCTCACAAAGATAAAACAACCTCTTGAACCACCGCTTATCGCGTCGCATCCAAAGACGCCTTAACACACGCGGTTACACGCGCCTGCTCGTTTCCTCGTTTTGTTTGATGAAACGATAAAAAAAAAAAAAAAAAGAGGAAGAAAGACGCCCCCGTTAAATTTCGAAGCTACGTGAATCCTTTATTGTCAGAAACACGCTGCGGTTTCAATGACCTTAATCGTGAACGGTAACGAAACAATGATTATGCCGAGATGGAAAACGCTGCGAGATTCCATTTTAATATTTCGATTAGCCTATTTTCTCACTTTTACACCGCGATATTTTAAAATTGAAAACTTGGAGTTGCTGCTTTCCTGCGATAAAAGGTCAACTGGTTTCGTATGACCCACCCTGTATTATTGAAACACCCTGTACAATCGCGAACTCGAATGTTCCCTGGCATTAAATGTTATCGAACGTGAACGATAACGGCCAATCCACGTTGCAAAGTGGGCGCGTGCGGTGAAAGCTCGCGAACGCAATGTCGCGCGCGCGTGCCGGGGTCACCACGCAACGAGAGATTTACAATTAAAGAAAGCCAGGACGATGGTACGCGTTATGGCGCGCCATCACTTTTCCCCTCTTTCCTGCCTCCTGCACGCCCAGACGATACGATACAATCGAATATTACCGATGTTAATCGCGCTCCTAAGTAACGGTATACACCTGAACCGAAGCTGCCGATTGTTCGGTGTAACTCGAACGAAAGGAATTCGTTTATTGTTCTTTTACTTTCCTCCTCATTGCCTGCCCTTCATTTTCCTGCTTTCTTACGAGATAACGCATGGTCACCAATATTTGATCATATAGATAAAAAGTAGACCCGATTAGTTATATTGATTCCGTGAAGAAGAGTAATTGGATTAATCGCCGGTTCATGAAATTTTCTAAGTATTTTTGTTTTTTACTAAAATGGTATTTAATACGTATTTATATTACAAAGATCTTTTAAATGACAGAAATATTGTCTAAGATAAAATATTACGTAAAATACAGCTTAAATTGATAAAAAGAAACTTGTTTCGTTTATCTGAAACATTCAAAATTAGCAGCGACGCGAGACTATCGAAACTCGATCGTAGTTGCATTGATAGCGATTATCGTTTCGTTCGATTCTCGCGGACGTTTACGACTGCCTTCATAATTTGACCAGTAGGACGTCCGTACTAACACGATAATAGTGTTCGTTTACGAATGATTTATTTAAAATGCGTGCTGTTAAACATGTTAAACATTTTCACATGTTTTTATCAACACGTAATGTGTACAGTGAACGATTCTGCTGTTTATTTTATGCTTTGATAAAAAGAAAGTTTGACAGCTGCTTTGGGTGCTTTAAAAGCGAATGTTTCAAGGCGCCACCTTTACGCATTTGCGATAAAAAGAAGATACAAACAATTTTTATAATGCCGTTGTAATAAACTGTGATTTGAGAAAAAAGTATAAAATAATGATAGTGCGTACTTTATTTAGGAATCAATTTTATTATCATAAAATACCAGAAACTGATATACGTGCAATTAATCGTTGTAAACAAATACTATTCAATTGCACGATAGCATAGTGAAGCAATGAAACATTTAACTCTATGTGAAGTAAATATTTTTTTAACAAAAAACATTTATTTCCAGTTAAATTTACCGATACATTTTGTTTACTACTTTTTCCTCAACAATTTTTGAAGTGACACAAACTTCGTTTAAAACAAATAATTATATAAAATACGGCTCAAACTGACACAAAAAAGTTGATTTTATTTGTATAAAACATCATTTTTGCAACTATTTCGAAATTAGCAACAATGCGCAGCTAAAGGTCAATGGCGTTCGTTTGTTTATTATGGTGAGCACCCCGATAGGTGTATCTGTTCGCATGTCAAACAGTATGCACGGCTCTCAGGGCAGCCCCTTTATGTATGAAAAATACAAATTCTTTTTTTCACATACCTGTCTTGTAGCAGGATTCCCGGTGTTCTTCGAGTAATCCGCGTTCAGGGGAGTATTCAATTAATCGTACAGCACATTTTAACACACGCCGGAACACACTGTGCGCAGCAAGAGTCAACGAATGCACCACGAGCGAACTGACAGTTACCACGGGCTGTTCATTATTGGAAAATCAGTCTTGCGGGCTGCTCTTGCGCAGCCGGTCTGACACTACCAACTTCCTCCCTACTACTGTCCGCCGCCATTTGTACCAACTTTCCTTCGTTCTAATATTCGTGTTATTCATGAGAGCATCGAAAACATAAAGAACCCCATTCTAACATAAAAGATTCAATACATATTCAGTTGTAAATACCACAAATAAAATGAACCCACAATTAACATTATTGATTTACAGGATTCGATGTTTTAAAATAACATATTTAGAATACTTGCGCGAATACCTTTTTTTTTTCAAAAATCTTATTTTTTTCACAACTTAATGTTGAAATCTATATTAAGATAATTGAAATTTATATAAAAGAATTCACAATTCTCATAGTTATAGTCGTGAATCTGATGGAAATGTAAAATATCAATTTATAGAGACTACAAGCTTATTTATCTAAAATTTTTAAAACAGCAGCTGGTAGCTACAAGATTAGAAACTCACGATGCAGTAAACCCGTCTAGAAAGCAAGTAGTTTGTGGAAACAGACAACCTCACGGAGGTTGGCTGAATTTTCGCAAAGTGAATTTCACTTGAATATTAGATATTATTTTCCGTCTCCCAGCTGTAGGTGATGAAAGTTTCGCGTTATAGTTAAGTCGCATATTCTGAAGTGGATTAATTTGAGGTATATTATTTGGTGTTATTCGGTATTCTTTAGAAAAATATACAGCGTATCATAAAAATAAGATATCATGGCGGTACCCACTACCGGTGTAGGTAAGTATTTTATATCTGTTTTATGGATAAAAGATACGAACAACAAATAGACTTTCCAGAAATTAAAAAGTTTTACGGAACATTTAAAACGAATCGTATATAAAATTTCATGATAAAAATTATCTTCACAAAATTCCTGGTCGAAATGCAAGATGTATCCTATCATTTTCTAATAAGTTATCATACACAGTAAACGTATTTAAAACTGATGGTTAATTTATCAACTTTTAAAATATATTATTGATATTTTGCTCTTATCTTGTAACTAATTAATATGAATCTAAGAGGAAATTATAAAAATAATAACGAATGGCAGGTTATACTTTACCCTAAAGTATATAGTCATAACCTGTACTCCCTATATCTTTTTGGTTAATCACATTTTATTTGCAGTTTTATAGATGGTAACTGTAATTTTATATTTTTTAGTTGTGCCTCGAAATTTTCGTTTATTAGAGGAATTAGAACAAGGTCAGAAAGGTGTAGGAGATGGTACAATCAGTTGGGGCTTGGAAAACGATGATGACATGACTCTTACACATTGGACTGGAATGATAATTGGACCACCTAGAGTAATTTTCTAATTTAATGTGCCAATTAGATTGTTTATAAATATTTTTGTATCATAATTACTGATATTTATATATTAATCTTTATATGATTTGATATTGTATAAATTTAAATAAAAGTAGAATGAGTTATAGTTATGTGTATGGAAATTGAAACAATATAAATAATATTTATAATCTTGGTCATTAACAGCAGGAACAGAATATTAAAATATTAGGTGCTTACAAATATTATTAGTAAGTAAACAAATTACTTGAACATTATATAATATTTTTAGACACCATATGAAAATAGGATGTACAGTTTGAAAATTGATTGTGGCCAGAGATATCCAGATGATGCACCAAATGTAAGATTTTTAAGCAGGATTAATATGAATTGTATCAATAGTACTACTGGAGCAGTAAGTATCTAGTTTCATTTAAATTAATAATAAGGAAACAAACATTTTATGTATCAAACTCTGCAGGTTGATAACCGTAGTGTACCAGTACTTGCAAAGTGGCAACGAGAATACACAATTAAGACAGTTCTTCAAGAGCTACGTCGCTTGATGACATTGAAGGAAAATATGAAATTGTCTCAGCCTCCAGAGGGTAGTACCTTTTAGCCTAACCACATCTAAACACAACACCTCTTCCTTTTTGTGGTAGCATGGGGCGAGATCCAATGAAGGTACCAAACAATATTAAATGGGTGCCGAATAAAGACATATAATAAGAAATAACACCTGTGTAAAAAGAAAAGAAGGTGATGATGACTATGAAAGTTGAATCAGTGTTTTCAATTTACAGAAATATTTACTTACAAAATTCATAAAGTATATTATTATCTATCATTTTTTTATTTTAGAGCACATTTCATATATTATATATATATAAAATTACTATATTAATTTTAATATCTTATTTAAAAATATGCACTCACATTTAATTAAGAAAATACTGTTTCAGCTTTTTAAGTTAATACAATCTAAAGCAAAAGTCATATTTTGATTCTTAAAACTGGAAACACAGACTGTGTAATAAAATTAATAATCAGTAAGAACAACTTATGCCTTCAAAGTTTTTTAAATGAAAAACAAAAAACGCCTGAATAAGTAAATTAGTAACATTTCAGTTTGTGCATAAGTGCCATTTCATAATCTGTGGAGGTGTCTCAGTAATTACTATTGTAGACCATTCTAAATTTTAATAATTTATATCTTTGTGTGCTCATTTTTATCAAGTCTTACTTTACATTATCTCTGTTAGTTGTTATTAAGATTTTAGCAAACAGGTTGTTGAGATCAATCTTTGATGTAATAATGTGCCTTTTTGTGCAAGTAGCATAAAAGTGAGCATGTATCGAGCGTGTTTGGTTGAGACATCATCCAAGAACGGCCTCTTATTCTATATATATATGAAAAAAAAGAATAGAGTTATGTTACAATTGAATCGTACCAAGTAGTAATTTGATTTATAATAACATATATGGTAAATGGTATAGTGTTGCATCAACGGGTACATCAATATATGAAGCATTAGATTACATCTTCAGTTCTCCATTCCACTATTTATGTACTAGAAATATATTTTAAGTTTATTTGGTCATTATAGTGCAGGTAATAGTACATATGTATTATTTACTCTTCAATTTAAGCTTCATAATTGATGTATTAATGAAGTCATACTTAATTTTTAATAAACATCCAAAGTACCATAAATAGCTTTGCAATCATTAGGGAATGAGGTCTGTTAGGCTAGTGCAATTCTTCCGTGAATTGCTACTAACTATACTTTTCTCATTAAGTTGTATACAGAGTGGAAACTTTTCACAATTATGTTACATTATAGAAAAAGAAATATAACCATAAATTATTTCAAACATAATATAATTTCTTGAAATTTTGTCATTCAAACTGTAGTGATATTTGTCCTTATTTTTAAAGTAAATCCAAACCAAAGTACGAGATTTTTAACACATTTTCACATTTATCATATAATATTATAAAATTCTCAACTACCTGAAATATTATACATACCTGTTCATCAGCTTAGCACTTCAGTATTACACTATAAATCATGTAATAGTGTAATCTAATTCATATTACTAAAAATATTAAATAATTATTATTCCATGTCGATGAAGTCAAGCTTGAAAAAATAAACAAATTTCTTTAGAAATTATCTTTATATTATTACTCGCTACTCCTTGTAATGTTAATATTTTGGGAAACTTTTTCTTCACAATGAATATACAATTAATTGAGTTTAACAATTTATTTAAACCAGACGACGATGTCATTGGTTGTAGTTATATGTACAAGGCGATTGATGTGTTTAGAGAATGTCTATCAGTTTGCGTGCAATTACGCTTTGAAAATGCCGCAACTTCCAAACAAAGTAAAAAACTACATTCCAATGTAAGAGCCTAACATCGTCAAATCACTTTCTTTGAGCTAATCGCTGAAGTAATTGTACGTAGAAAGGTTTACTGCTTTTTCGTTGGCGTGAAAAGTAGTTTGGTATGTTTTATAGTTGTCCACTTCTGTCTCTTCCAATAGTATGATAACATTGTTAGTGTCGAGAAGATAATTATAGCCTGTAAAAAAATAATAACGATATAAGATTAATTATAATTACATACATTTAAAAAAATATGTTTCTAACAATAATAAATAATTACCTTAATAGTTAATCGCTTTCTTTCATCAAATTCAGAATTTGATGTCCACATAAGGAATGTGGTGATATCTTTTGCTATTTGAGAAGCAGTTGCTGGAGTACCATCTTCAAATTCTAAGACTTCGTCGAAAATGACCTAGAATATTTATATAAATCAGAAATCAAATCAGAATATTTTATTAACTACATCAACTTACTTGTGCCATGCCAATAGCTCCACCAGGGAAATAAGGATTGAAGTATTGTCCTTCTCCTATTTGAACTCCGGCTGGTGCATCACAGTATCCAGTTAATAATGAAAATATGTAATTCTAAAATGTAAAATATATTTCAATTTAAAAAAAAAATTAGTTTCTTTAACTAATACTTTTTTTCTACGAAATATTAAATAACACATGATATTAGAATTTACCTCTCCATTGTGCCTTGCATTAAGAATGAAGGATAAATCCGGTGGGGAAGAACCATTATTGGCTGCCCTTGCAGCTTCCTCATTTGGATATGGGGATGGAATATAATCAGATAATTTGCCAGGGCGCATAAAATAAGCTCCTGTATCATCAGGACCATCTTGTACCTACATTCACATAATTTTTTTAAAACATTTTTTAAACATTTTATTTCGCGTTATTTGACCTTAATTTTTTGTAAATATTTACCTGAATTTCTTCTGCAATAGCTTTTGCTTGATCTTCGGTATGTGTAACACCAACAAGTTCTCTATAAGCTACATATTTCAAGCCATGACAGGCTGAGCATACATTTTTATATACTTCCCAACCTCGTCGCATACTAAATAATGAAACATAATACATGTATAATTATTTGTTATATCATTTCTATTATGCTTTTAATTACCTTTTATGATCTAATGAATTAAACAGTCCATAGAAGTCCCACTTAAAAGTAGGTGCATGAGCTATTAAATCTGAAGCTGTTACAGAACGATCCAAAGCATAGATTAATGCACTGATACCACCTGCAGTAACTCCCAGACATGTTAATAACTGTAATTGTTTAAATTATATAAAACTTTAGTCTTACAAATATCATATAGTAATATAATACTTAAAATAACTCAAACTTACAATTAATGTGCATATATATATATACATGTATTTAATGAGAAATAAGCTTTATTGGTTGCACATTAGGAATAGGATTGGGAAGGACATCTTCAATTCATTAGAAAAATACACATACCACTTTTCTACCCTTAGACCATTGGTTTGCGGTAGAAAAATTATGCACCTGCTAAATAAAAATTCAAATATTAGATAAAAAGAAATATAAAGCATCAGTTTATTTTAAATTGTATCAATAAAGTTGATTAAATCTAATACATTCACTACAATGACAGATGTAATTATTTTTTAGTGTTGAAATAACCAGTTTATTTGAAGGCATAAAGTATTAACAATTATTTTATATTAATTCTATCATTATCTTTAAAAATTATGAACACTCCCAGTTATAAATTTGGTATTTTACTTTTATCCACATAGATCTCATATTTGCTTGACCATGGCAGCATCACAATTTTCTGTCCTGATAACTATTACATAACATGAAATAAAATGTCTTCAAATTCTGATTTAATTTACTGTTTTGTTATATCATATATCTAATTTGATTAGAGACAATAACAGATAATATAAAACTAAACTATCTTTGGGAAAAAATGTCATAGCAGCCGACAAGTTCAGTAGTTCAGCAAGAACATTACATTAACTTTAAAACATCAATATTATGAATTTAAGATCTCGACAAAGAATACTATTTTTATAATAGACAATTTGATATATTTATAAATGAATTATATGTTTAAAGTACATACCTGATTGAATAATGTTCCATAATTTGATTTTAAAAGACCAGATTTACAAACTCGACCCAATGAAGCCGCCATGTTGGCCGAAGGTGTAATGTATAATGACTATTAGTCAGTTGCACGCCTATACAATAAATTTTTATCAAATAGTGAAACAATTACTATTTATATTAATTAAATTTTTCTATTTATTATATGTACATTTTTATGGCACAAGATCCTAAGGAGGTAAGACTAGGAGAACGGGTACTTACACAACTTTGAAGTCTCTAAGTCTACAGTGACTCCAGATCTAACAAGACTAGACATGCCTTTGTTCTCAAGTGGTTATGATTTTAGGGGTTCCAGACATCCCAAGTCCAGTTAGATCTACAGGTACAGAACACAGTCGGTATAACAATCTTGCATGTTTCACCAATCCCTCTTTTACCGCACCTCACACAGGCTACTGAAAAGACACTATTTTAACTCCCTCTGACCCTTATTTTATCCTTCTTTATGGGCCAAACCCACATTTCCTAATTATTTATTATTTTATTTCTCTCCACGGGCTTCGCGGGAACCGCCCTTTCCAGTTATTTATTATCCTTTTCCTCTTTATCGACCATGGCTTCCCTTCGCAGTTACATACATATCTTTCCATTCTTTACATCGGCCTCGCCGATATTACCCCTGTAGCACTTCATCCCTCACATCGTTGCCTCCCTCACATCTCTGTATCCCTTACATCACTGCAACCCTCATATCACTGCAACCCTTATAATAAATATATTATAAATATAATAATACATTATAAAAACTGATTCGAGTAAGGGTAAATACAGGTAAGTAAAGGTAAGGAAAGAAAAGGAAAGGTAAGTAAAGTCTCGCGAGATCACAACATCGTTGCAAAACACGTAATCCCGATCTCGCGGGCGGCGTTTTTGTGCTTTGCAACATTATCGCCAACACCTAATCGCGGCCTCACGTTTTGCAACATTGTAGCGCGCGAAAGATCAAGTGCTTCACAGAATTTTCGCGTCTTGCGGGGCACTTGATCTTTCGAGAGCAACAATGTCGCAAAACGTGAGGCCGGGAATGCGCGCCTGCAACATTCCTGCAATCTCGGCGAGGCGCTTTGGTGCTTTGCAACATTATCGCCAACACCTAATCGCGGCCCCACGTCTTGCAACATTGTTGCGGCCTCATGAGAAGCTCAAATTCTCTGGCTACTTACCTTTACTTACCTTTACTCGAATCAGTGGATGAAACTATGTTTTTTTTTTTTTAACGTGGGGAAATCTTGCATAAGACCCCCCACCGTCCACTGGGTGGAGTGGGCGGTAGGGGAGTGTCAGATTCCTACTGACTAAAACCCCACGGCGATCGACACTGGCACTAAAGGAGGGTTCCGGGACCTTATGTATAGTACTCCGGAGTCCTCCAAGCCTGGCACGCAGGGTTCCCATCTCGGGGGAGATCTAAATTGAGACCCTCCCCTGGTGCCTACCTTATGACCGACACCGGGGATCGCACCCGGTACCGGCCTCTCCTCAGGCCCCGTACTAGGGTGCCCCTGTGACTATAGATCCTGCAAGACTGGACATGCTTTTTTTACTGAGATATGGTAACGCAGAACTCGAGACACTGAGTGATGAGTTATAGTGGTTGATATGGAAACAATCTGCTTATCGTCAACGTGCATTAGATTGGTTGCACTGCGATGTGTTTCACATTTTTCTTATACTAGATTATATTAGATGGCGCTTGTTTACGAGGCACGAATTCAACATCCCCGAAATAAAGGCATGGCCGTCTTGTTGAATATGTAGTTACTGAAGTCTACTTTGCCAATGATGCCAATGTTGTACGATTAAATTTTAAAAGGGTTGAATTTTATTCACATGTTATCCATACTGTACATGTTTTCGATCGCATAAATATTAATAAATCATCTGTAACTTTTATCCTGAGATAATAACATTATTTGGTTTATATTTATATATTATCTAAAATAGAAATATCAAACTGGTACGGTGTATAATATTTTGTTAAGAAAGATGTAATTCACAAATTTAGATCTTTTCTTTTTAGCATCTTGTTCCTATACATATTGAATACTGTTTTTATTTTTATTCTCAACTTTATTACATTGTAAATTTATATACTATTCTGAATATGTAGCGGGTGTGACGCATGCGCAACTTCTGTTGGTAGTCTTGGCAGTTTGCTGTCGACCATTGGTGTCAGCTGGTGGTTTCGTCAGATGATATCGTGAATCCTATAATATCACATCGATCACCGTGCAGAAGAAATAGATTCAAGATGAGCGGAGGAATGCCGGAGTTGGGCTCGAAGATTAGCTTAATATCGAAGGCGGATATTCGTTACGAAGGCCGACTTTTTACTGTTGATCCTCAAGAATGCACGATTGCTCTGGCTAATGGTGAGTCTCAAATCAAGATGGATACCGAAATCAGTTTTGCCGCTGCTCAGTTTCCCGGTTATTTTGTTGTAATAACCGCTACTTTTCATTATCGATTACCTTCTTGCATTTGTTTTGTATATCTGGTTCGTGCATTTTTTAAAAGCGAATTTGACAATTCCTTTATATTCTATTCAAAAATACTTTCGAAATAATCGGTACTTGGATTCGTCCGGTAAAGCTTCGATACAAAACAACGGGGGTCACCCGTCAGCTATAACGGATATATTATACATTATTCTTAATTTAAATCTGTTTCCGAAGTCTGTATTTAGATTTAACGTATTTTTAATTCCAATAAACTTATTAAATATATTATTTAGTATCTCTGTATTTATAACATTCTATATATGAATGTAAAAATTATGAAAACAGATGTATGCAAGTTAATATTTAATTAGACGATTTTATATTTTAATTTTACAGTTCTTATAATTACAGTAATAAATTGAATTCTATGTGATATAATAATTATTTTTTTAAATATTTTCTTTGTAACATAATATTATATTTAACTGCTTCAAACAATTTAGAACCAAAGTGAAACAAACAGAGTCTGAAGTATGAAAAACTTATGAAATTAAAATTTAAATATTTCCAGTGATAATGTAATCCATTGTTTGTGCAAAGTCAGGTTGTTTGAAAGCCAATGCTTATATCCACCATTGTGTCAAATGTTTGTGTATCATACTTATCATGTTTATATCCCTTGTCCTTTTTTTTTTTTGAGACATATTATGAAACTGTTATAATAAATCGTTAAATTTGAATTTTATGTCATTGCATATTAACTTTATTTATGTTATTAAAGTTTTAATTTTATATTTTATTAATTATTTCATTAATTTATTTGATTATATTAAAATATAGGTACATTTGTTTCTAAAATATGTAGTAATCCATTTTTTCAAATAATGCAGTACGTTCTTTTGGAACTGAGGATCGAGAAACACAGCTTCCAGTGGCACCACAGAATCAAGTATACGAATATATTTTATTCCGTGGTTCAGATATTAAAGATATTCGAGTTGTCAACAATGTTAGTTCTATTCCAAATGATCCAGCTATTGTGCAGGTAATTATATATATATAATATTTGGTGAGAGCATTATGTAAAATATATAAATTATAAAAGTCATGTTTAAAAGCACAATTTAGTATCATCTACAATTGTTGATTATTTATAGATGACGGTGCAACCGTCTATGAGCCAGCAGTCATACCAGCCTCAACCTAGTTATGCTCATCCAATGATGGGTCCAATGGGTGGACAATATGGAACACCCTATGGCATGACAATGGGTACTATGGGACCTGTAATGGGGATGCCACCTTCTACTAGAGATCCTCGTGGACCAATCAATAAACAGCCAAGTGAGTTGAGCTTGGGCTCTGCTGAACCCAATGCCATCTCTATCCCAAACTCACTACCGATGGCCAATGTCGACCCATTACCAAAAGACCAATCTCTGGAAGATGGTAAACTGTTTTTGCTATGAACTATTCCTTGCCAATGGCATGCTTGCTGCTTCTTCTTTGGTAATGCTTGTTATCCTTACTCATATAATCCATTTTAGTTATTAATCGCAAATTATGCACTAACAAAGTGCATGAAAAGCTTGCTTTTTTGCTTTCTTCTAACTGCTTGTATACAACTATTTACATTAAGTTTCAGCTTTATAATAACAAACTTATATTAATTTCAATGCTACAGAAATGATTACTTTAAAATTATTGCTTCAATGTAATCTGCTTTGTTAATAAAATTTATTTTCATCAACTAATAATTTACGTATCTTCGTCGATTTTCGCTTATTCTGCATATTGATATCTTTTATTTAACATCAGTGATAATATATTGTTTGAGTTAAAGTGTACATTTAATATCAGTTTTAAATTAATGTTGTAAGATAATTGTGAAATAACAGCAATCCCAACTTTTGAATGTTTAATTTATATTTTATGTGGTTTATACATGCACTACAATTATAATCATTTATTTTCAACATTTTCTTGTTTCAGTTTGTGCATGAAACCTTTTCTCATTCATTTTTGATTTAGTACTTTCGTTCTAAATATGCATCTGAATTTCATTTAAACAATATGAGAAGCATTATGCATTAGTAAGTAACATAATAGCAAGAACAGTTGAAATTTTATATAGAAATCATCTTTTAAGATTAGTTTTAGCCCTAGTACTCCGATAATTATTCATTTCGCGGTAAATATTTAAACACTTGTTGCGCGTTTGTCCTTGAAATTGCCATTAGTGCTTGATCAAAATACGAGATATGTGATTACTTACTTTATCTTGCAGGTGTATTAGATCTTATTAGCGGAGGTTCACGATCAACAACTCCAACTTCCTCTTTGTTAACACGCAAAAGTCCAACTATAGATCAAGGTATTCAAGTAGGTATTCAACAACAGCAACAAAAACAACAAGCCAGCAGTGTTGGTAAGCTTGGTGATAAAACGAATATGAGAACTATTCAACCTGCCCGACGCGATCATGAAGGGTATGTAGCAAATCAATGCAAAACATATTATAGAAGACAAGCGTTTTCTTAAATTGATGTATTTTGTTTCAACAATAGCGGCAATAAAGCAGGAGGTACAGTATCTCAATATAATGATGGAAAGCGTGATTCGATGAAGCAGGATGGTCAGTTACAAGGTCAGGGTACTCATAACCAAGGGGGTCGAGGGAATCGTGGTGGATGGATGAATCGTGGAAACATGCGAGGAAGAGGGAGAGGTCGCGGGGGCTTTAGAAATCAACCTGGCAATACTGGTGCTAAACCGAAGAATACATTGAAGTTCGATAATGACTACGATTTCGAGCAAGCTAATACTGAATTCGAGGAGCTAAGGTATGTACGGTTGTGTGTATTCCTTTTTTATTATGCATGGTTAGTGCCGGATTCATTTCAAGTACATTTGAAATGATAAACGTGGATACCATGCAAAATCAATGTTATGCGTTTTTAAAGTAATTCATGATCGTATCCTACATGTTTTACTTACGCAACGCATCGACAAACAATACCATAAACTTAAAGGATGTGTTTAAAATCAACGGAGGTGGCATTGATATTCGTTATAAAATCTAGATCTCAGTTGGCAAAAACGAAGATTGATACTGGTGCTGATAATGAGAAGAAAGATGACAGCGGTAATGAGACTGGAGCGGGCGAAGGTGAACCCGAAGAAGAACCTGAGATTGTTCATTACGATAAGTCGAAGTCTTTCTTTGATAACATTAGCTGCGAGGCTGTTGAGAGGAGTAAAGGGTAAGTTGTGAAACTGAAGTAAGATGTGTGATCGCAGAAAGTAAGTATATACAATATGATTTTTATAAAATATTACAGACGGTTCCAACGTACGGACTGGAGGACTGAACGTAAACTGAACTCTGAAACATTTGGTGTTGCGTCAACGAGACGTGGTAGTTTTCGCGGACGTGGTTACTATAATCGTGGAATGGGAGGCATGTATCGAGGTGGTGGTGGTGCAGGTGGTTCTGGTTTTCGAGGTGGTTATAGAGGTTCTAGAGGTGGTAACCGTAAACCCGCTAACCAACAGCAACAGAACAATCCTGGCAGTCAAAATCGCACGACCAACGAACAATCCACTACTCCATCGCAGCAGAACAGCCGCGTTGTATCATCCTTTTGAATGAACGACGCCCTACTATATAAATAAGTATTCACTTTAGGATTAAGATTTTTACAATACCTGCTCTGCCTTTACGGACTGATTTGAATTCGAGTGTAAAAAGGATTCACTTGGTTAAGGAGAAGAAGAAGAGGTAAAGGTAATAAAAAAAAAAAAAAAAGAAGTGAAAAGTTCTTTGAGAGAACTTTATCGTGAGGTTTTTCTACTGCCACGCAGGAATAACGTAGAAAACTGATCATTGCTTTGCAAGTCCTGCGTTTAGAATTTCTCGACAAATAAATACGAATCTTATTGTTATAAATAGTTAAGTTTCAAGAAAAAAAAGCAACTTGATATTCAGAGCTATCATGTCCTACGAGTTAAGAAATTGTCGAATGCTTATGAGTGTAATAAGTATAATGGGTGTAATAAGTATAATGAGTGTAATAAGTAATACACGCCGGACGGTAGAATGTTTTCAAACAACATATACAAAGTAACAAGTTTTAAATTTTCAGTTACACTTGTTTAAACACTGTTAACTCGACAAGCATGCAATTATGAGAGTAAAAGAACAATAAGAATCTCAAGGAAAATTTTTGTAATGCAACGTAAACACATTGTCTATAAAAACAAATAAGAATAGTATGACATGATTTCGAAGAAAGATGGATAAAGATGAAAGCAAAGTGACGAATTAATTTTTCATGTTGCATGTGTTGTTACTCTAGTAAAACGAGACGCATGGAGCACTACTGTTGATTAAAGCTTTTCACGGGTGAATAAAACAAATTAGTAGGGGGTAACAAACGAGAAAAAAAGAAAAAGATAAAGTGGAACATGCGTTCAATCGCAGATTAGAGTAGGACAATATATTATGATTATTTTGAACAGTCAACATTATTTATTTAAGATAATGACCGTGTATGCGAATTTTGGTGAAATAATTATTTTACTCGTGTATTTACTAGGGGGTTTTGATTTTCGAACAGGAACGTATAATTGTTCCTTATGGAGAAACAGAAAAAGAAGAAAATAAATAAAAAGATTGATTTTGTATATTTCATAGAAATACGCGTGTAAAGCTGAATCGTACATCAATACTGACCATTGATTTTTGTTTGCCCTTTTTTTTTCTTTAAAATATTAAACGTGAGTATGTTAATGAAAGAGAAAATGGAAGCGCAAATGCCTTCTTGTAATTCGACTGCGTTTGATAAGTTCGATTTTCAATTAAAAAGAAAATTCTGATAAATTTTTGATGTACGAGGACGCTATGCGTAGATTGCAGATAGCGTTACGAGAGTAAGACTCTAAAAGCATGATAATGTTCTTCAAAAATATAAGACGCAAAAAGGAAGGCATAGGTATATTATTTGCGACTGTTATTTTCTTATGGTTCGTATGGAATCCTAAACGTATACAGATATATACATTACATTAACATGAGATTTAGTTACGTGTAAGTCTTATAAAAGAAAAAGAAGAAAAACCTCCATAAGCTAACAGTAAAGTTGCAAAGCAAGGAAAAAAAAAAAATATAAAGCGTATAAAGATAAGTTAACTAGAAAGGAATATGGGGGAAAAAGAAGAAATATAACTTTTAAGTTTTATGCATAGCGCGTGGAAAGAAAGCACACGGTGTATGCGGTTTTCCGATAATAAATTTTTGTTTTGTACAACGGATATTGTGATTCCCATTACTGAATAATATTGAAATAATAAAATAACGTTTGTTGTATACTCCTTAAGCCCACCAATTGCTTTGCGAAAAAGAAAAAAAGAACAAGGAAGGAGAAAAAAGTATTCGAAAGTATTCGTCAATTATCAATAAAAATTGTTTTTGTAAATCGTCAATGCTCCAAGAAAAAGAGGGTTCGAACAAGTAATTAAAAAGAGACTTGATCGCATAAAAAAAAGTCATATCATTATTGTCGAATTAAATGCTAAGTAAACTTAAAAAGAAAAGAGAGAAAAAGAATAATATGGTGGCGTCGATTCATCTATGTACAAAAATGCGATGCGTTGCGTATACGCGTGTATAAATACTTAACATTGTATCAATGACTGAGAAGAAAAAAATCAAGCAACGCGTAGCTTGAATCTTTTTCATTTCCTTCAACTTCTTTTAGATTTGATCGAACAAGTACAAATCTTACTCAACATCCCTCCGCAACATTTTCCAATTCCCTCGATCGTTCATCAAGGGAATTGGAACGCGCAGCTGGTCCGAATCATTTCTGATGATTCCTGAAGAATACGGCAGATCACGGTCGAAGAGAAGCGACGTTCTCGTGTCAAGCGCAGCTCATCAGACCTGTCCTCGTGTTGTCGCAGACCTCTCTTATCGGACGACCTCTTGCCGTCACTTTGCTCTCGACAAGCGTGAAATTGTTCTTGTAAGTGCGGCGCAAAGTACGAGGATTCGGCACGTAAACTTCGTACGGACTTCGACCGTTTTCAACCACCCATATGCTACCGGACTCACCGATCCTCAATATCGACATCAAACCTTGAGCCACTACGTACGGTCTGGAACGAATCGATAAGAATTTTTATTATTTTCATCGTTCAACAACGGAGGTCTTCGTCGGGATGAAAATAAACTTACGTTTGTATGGATAATTGTTCGAGATTTTTTACGAAATCCGCCTTCATCACCCGAGAGAGCAACTTGTTTGGACTGTCCACTGTGAGCGCGGTCTCTGTTAAACCTGGGCACAACGTTATCACTCGGATACCGGTCTTCTCATATCGATAAGATTCCTAATAAATATTGAAATTTATTTTAGTTAAAAGTAGTCTTTCCTTAATGTTAAGTTGCATTTTCTAGAAGGTCTGTAATGTTTATTCGGAGGTAACGAACAAATACTTGATGTTAGTAGCACCGTTCATTGTGTTCTCAAATTTTGTAAGATCTATGTTCAAAGTGCCGATGCGTTGAGAATAAAAATTAAAAAATTTCACTGTCTTATTAATAATTATTCATAAGTATCATCACAAGAAATAATCTTACCGCGAGAGATTGCGAGAGACCGATGATGGCGTGCTTGGTAGCCGTGTAAACCGGAAGTTGAGCTGTGCATCGGATGTCTATGTGCTGGCTAACGTTCACCAGAGTTCCACCGTGTCCAAGTTCGTTTCTGTTTAAATATTTAACAGCAAGGAAAGCGGTAGACACCATCCCTCCCTGAAACAGTGTAAAATAATTATATAAGTTTGAAAAATGAAAATAAAACGACGTTTTATCTTTACTTACAATGTTCACTGCAATTTCTCTTTCCCATCTTCGTTCATCCAAAATCCCAGCATTATTGATAACAATATCAATGTCGTTCATAAGTTTGGCTGCTTTCTCAAAAGCCTCTTCAAAAAAAAAAGAAATAAAAAATGAAAATAGGTAGACCCTCTTTTGTAAATTAATCAAAATATTTATGTTTTTCTTAGATCAAGGTTTATGAATTCATTCTATCATTATCAATTACATAAAAGACCACGATACTGATTTAAGAACCCATTAAAATTCTTATCAATGGTACCCAATTCAGTTTTTCATGATGTTTGACACTTACCAGCCATTTGTTGGTAATCAGACACGTCCACATGTATAAAGTGCACCTTTTCTCCGTACGATTTTTTGACACTCAGTTCCACTTTTCTTCCAGCGTCTGCGTCGATGTCCAGTATAGTTATCTTCTAAAAATCAAAGAAAAAAGAACGAATTAAATGGGTGTGTACAATTTTGATGATCCCCAGAGTTTATCTCTGAAAAATACTCACGCTGGCACCGTGTTTCAAAAAGTGATTGAGGAAAGCACACCCTAATCCTGAGGCTCCACCAGTGATGAGGACGTTCTTTTCTGAAACCAGTCCATTTATCGCTTCTATCTCTTTTGCTTTCTCAGACGAAGAAGAACGTCTGCTTCTATTGTTATTATTCTCTGTAAGATTTTTACATTTTACACTCGTAACGTTCTTCTAATCGAAGCGTTCTTAACACACTCTGATAGAATATGAATTGTTTTCTTTTGAATAATATTTTCGTTGCTTTTACAAGATCAATCGTTTCGTTATCGAAGATGAAAAATTTACTATTAACCCTTTCACTGTAAACAACGCGTGGAATTGGTATCGAAGCACAATAAGACACAGATTTTTGTCTTCATCCCTCGAATGGTGCCTGAGTTAATGGCAACCCAGAATTCAAAAAAGGAAAGTAATATAAAATATAAAATTAAATCTAAATTGACTATTTTATTATTCATCAAATTTCAGAGGGTGCTTTCCAACTCTGCAGCGAAAGGGTTAATTGCAATCGGCGAGTATACGATTATATCTGTCAAAAGAGTTCAACCACGTGTGGAACATCTTCACGTAAAATCACGTGTATTATCTAAAGTAACAATTCTATAAAATCATAAAAAAAAACAAAAATAGACGTTCTGAGCATACAAATTAAAAAAAAAGGAAACAAACACTCTAATCTCTGTAACAATAGCTCACTGTCTGACTATTATAACACTATTTCACTTAATCAAGTGAAGTATACTGTTCATCGACCGGTGAATTTAATGAATAAATCCATCAGTTTATTTCGAATCGACAGAGCACGGTGTCGAACGTACCCATTTTTTCCGATAGTTGCGAGAAAAGTGCGTGGTTAAGGAAGCGTTAGAAAGGAAATCTCGAGACGTGAGATCACGAAAAGCGAGCAGCGTACTGAAGCTTGCTCGCTCTTCGACGATGGTATTTATACGCGTCTGAAGCGTCGTCGCGACGATTCCTGGTTACGACGATGCAGACACGAGGCGTCCCGTGGTTTATCGCGAGGCACAGCCTCGTGGAAGGTGGACGATGGACCAGGGTAGGAGTTGTTTCTCTCCACCCCTCTGTGTTTCCAGGGTAGACGAATCTCGAACAGACGATAACGTCTCTAATTAATCCCTTCTCATCCAAACTAATTAATTCAATCGGTTTTGTATCACGTTCGCTCTGTCAGCGTTGATAAATTCCGATATACCGAAAGAAATTCAACCTATCGTCGCGAGTCTTTGCATTGACGTCTACTCTGTTCGTTCGATAAACTGTAATTAAACTGCTTTCGATAATTTCTGTCTGACGATAAATGTTCTAGTTATCTCTGTGCAGTTTAATTGGCCAGGTGATGAATCTCGGTCGAGAATAGAGAGATCAATTGTATTCTGAATTTTTAGTTTAACGATCGTTCGTTTTTAAATGAAAGCAACGATTGTTCGTAGAACGAAATGTTGCGCGTTTGTTAATTGTTTAAGGACGTTCTTGAAATGTGTTACGATTTTCGGTATCTTGAAAGGTGAATGATTTATTTCTGACTCGAAACGAATTTAATAACTTCTGATCCTACGTTTCAACGGGCCAATAGACATTTTAATTTAGTGTTAATTGAAATTCTCATGTTTTTAAAATTCTTCGACTAGTCACGAGTACGAATAATCAGCGAACTCGATCACACGAGCAATTTCCTGAAACTGAAAATAATCAAGGTCCCTCTGACGAGATAGGTCAACGTAACATGACGTGTTATCGATGCAAGATTAACTAACAAACGTTACGTAGCGTTTGTCCTGGAAGTGCAACGACCGTGCGATAAAAATGCAGTAACCAAAGTTACGTATGCTTTTTACTTTGGTAATCCCCTGGGTTACTGGGTCGAATGCAATGGATGATCAAACCATATGCATCTACATTTCTTGACTCATCTTTGCTGACTTTCAAATTCCAGGGAAGAAATGGTAGCAGAAAACATCCTCGTGTACATACTGATGAGTATTTTTTTAATTGAATAGAGATAATGGAACGTCATCCGATTTTTGTGCCATTGAATAACCCTGATTTATCAATTTCTATTAATTTATTAATATGCTATAATAATTTTCTAGTATTCCATGCTGAAATATTCCCTTAATAAGGAAACATTTCTGTAGCAGTATCTATAGTATTTTCTCTTATTAGAATACTCTTTTAACGAAGAAATATTTTTATCGCGATATGGGGTGCTCTTCAAACCGGACCGAACCCTTATCGTTGTTATTTCTTCTCCCTTTTTTACCGGAAAAATCTCGAGCCAATGGTTTCTCAGCCGCGTTCGCGAACAAATAGAACTGGAAAACATAATTTACACTGTGTCGTGTGGCGCACTGGGACGATAAAGAATCGACGTACGCGCAGCTCGTGCTCCGAGGTCTCTTATCAGAGAAAAAGTGCATTTAATGTGTCCGTCTTGGCGAGTTCGCGATAAATCCGCAACGAAATCACGCGTTTTAAAGGCGCTCCCTGAAAACCGGTAAGAATCGGTACGCGTTGAACTTTACTCCGACGAGCGATCGGCAAACTATGTAGGAGTAACGCGTGCACGATTCCCTGTTTTTCTTTTCTCCCCATTTTTCTGCTCGCTGATTTCGTTGTAGAAACGTGACGAGGTGCATTCGTGATCGTTATCGATCACTCGATTATGCAATCGATTGATAATTCGCTAGTTAACTGACTTCTAACCGATCGGTAATTTTTTATACAGAATTTTCTTCTTTGACAAGATAACACGGTAGCACGTATTAAAATTATTGAACATTTTCTGCAAAGCAACGAATTGATAGGTAATTTTTTTTCGAAAATAATGAAGAAATAAGAAAGCAGATAATGGGTTTATAATGTATTTAAGAATGATAAGTATTTATATAAAACGATGATACTTTTATTGAACACCAATTATAAGAATAAGCTGTCATTAAACAATTTGCTAACTGTAGCTGATTTTGATAATCCTTTTTACTTTTGGAACGGTAATCCGGGTTAGTTATTTGTACCAACTTTCCTCTATAAAGTCAATCTTTATATTAAAAAGAAAAAAAAGATTATAGATAAATCATCGAATCCTTCATAATAAAAGGAAACTTGCTAATTATCGCAGGCGTAATCTATGAGGAAAACGAAAAGGAAAAAGGGGTATAATTAGAATAATTGTTCGAAGTGCCGTCAATTCATCTATCAATTGACTCTTGTTTTACACTTTGTAAATCGTTTTAACAACAAAGGCACCGTTGTTCGTCCATGAAACATTACTAATTATCATTTCCTATTTAGCATATCCATAATTAAGTAACATTCTCATTAGAAAATAAATTTTTTTTCCTTTCTTTATTCACAAAACTGCGCAACATTCAACTCGGATCATATGAAAATATGACGATTAGTAACGAAAGAAATTTCATACGAATCAGTCTGCTCTTTCGAACTCCCCATTCTATCTTTCGAAAGTAAAAAAGCAATCATGCACCCATAGATGCGCATTTCCACGCGATAAACGGATATTTTTTCCCTCCTCGTCATTCTCGATTCCCGTCGATTTCTCGGTAGATTGTGAACGGGATGTTACCGGGTTATCGTTAACTCGGCCTGATTACACGAAGCTTTGTGTATGTACCGCGTCGTTTTGCGACCATCTATCTTCGCTATAATTCGTTATTACCTCGCGCGAATATGCGAAAATTATCATTATCATTCGCGAATATCGTTTCTTTATTAATCGCGAAGGATATTTGAATTTTGCAAAGTATGCGAATACTTACGAATCTTGAATCCTGCGAATACAGATTTGACGTCTTTGTCTTTGTATACATGGTACACATCGTTTTTTATTATTCATCAATCTCCCGATAAGAGATAGGAATCAAAGTTCAAGCGACCCATGCTCGTTTCGTTTAGTCGAGTCTTCGGTGGTCCCTGATATGGTGGCGTCAAGGAATTTTAAAAACATTTTTTTGCCTCCGCAAAGATCCACGCGGTGTTCCACGTAATCCACTGAGCGAGCTTTAATCGTGTAATCGAAAGTTTGCTGGAGATACAAAATAGAGTTACAAAATGTGAAACTGTTTCTCAGTGTCTGAATATGAAATTTTCAAGAAATTAATCAAATTAATTGCACCGTGTTAACTTCCATAGATTGAGTGGTAAAAGTGTGAAATTAAATTAAAATATTTATTTGAAAATATTCGCGACAGAAATATTAATAATTTATTTTCGAGCTGTTTTCCTTTTTTCAATTATTAATAATAATTCATGGATATAATTGAGGTCTGTGAGAGGTGACGAAGCATCTCAAAGATGAACAATGTTGTGTTTATCATTATTGTAGCTTTAAATAATTCTGGTTACTAATTAAGTATAATTCAAGATATGCATTGTTTATTGTGTTATTCGTACGTAGAGAGATATCAGTTTCCGGCGATAAGCGGGCATACATTTTGCAGTCATTTTTTCGACTGCGTATACTAGTTTATCTTCAATATGGTTACAATGTATTTGATAATTGGATTCAACGTGATTAGTTGCGTTTAACAAACGTTCTTTGAACTCGTTGAATAATAGCAAAAGGATCTTAAATCGGACATAGCGAAAAGTTCATTTCTAAATGATGAGATTCTTTATTTAAAACGAAAGTAGAAAGGAAATTTGTTTTAGTTTTTTTTTTTTTAATTTGTGTATTATTTACTTTAGCACTATCAAAAATAATATTTACAATATTTTACAGTCGTTCTTTATTTGTTGAAATTATTAGTACCATCGACCTACAAAATAATAATTTGCTTCATTAATTAAATATATAAACTCCTACATGTATAAATTTGATTGATTTTTAAAATAATGCTCGTTACACGAATATCAAAAGTATCATTTATCAAAAGTCACCGTAATAATACTAAAGCTGTATTTACAGACTTTCAGGATTTAGTTCATCTTAATCTCGTTTTCGTTCAAGGGATCGTCAGGTTTCTGTGGTAAACTGTCGGATAATTGGATTTCGTAAACCGGCTTTCCATCCTCGCTGATCCAAACGCTTCCGTTTTGTGCGCACCTAATCACGTAAATTACTCCATGCGCGATACTGTCCACTCTAATAAAAGGGTATAAGATATATCAATACCAAAAATTGATTAATACGAACAATTATCAAAAGTACCTTCCGCAATATCTTTGAATAATTTCTTCCTCTTGAAGATTGTTTGATAAATTTTCCATTGTTACAGGTTGAGTCAGTTCAGGACACATTACTATTATTCTTACTCCTGTCCTCTGATAATGATAAGGTTGCTGAAAAACAAGAAAATTGAAAAATAAATTTGGAAATATAATGCTCTACGTTTCTTCCTTAGGCAGATAAATTTTCATTTCAAAGGTCCTGCAAAATTTTCAATATATCTAGTACTTCTTCCTTTTCTATCAATAGTACTTACTGAAAAGGAACGGCTAAAGCTAACCACTGCATGTTTCGTGGCGGAATATACTGGAAATTGTGATAAAGAATGCAGACCAGCCACAGACGAAATGTTCACGATAACACCCCCTTTGCCTCCAGAATCTTTTTGCATTTGTTGTATTCCTAGAAGCGTTCCACGTATCACCGCGGTCTGTACAAATCGACCTCGATTAATTAAAACGTAATTGTAATTAATGTTTGTATTCGTAAAAGTGTTTTTGCTTACCACGTTTACGTCTATAGCTTTTGTGAAATCGGTCTCGTCGATCACGCCAGCATTGTTTACTAGAATCTCCAAGCCACCGAGCATATTGATGGCTTTCTTGAACGTATCTATCAGAAAAACGTGACGAAAGTCAGTTAATTAATTTGTCAGATTATTTAATTTGTAATTTGTAATTTGTAATTTCTAGCTATGAAAATCTATTTAATGTCTACTTTCTGTAAATGTATACTATGTATACACTCATGTATACTAAATAAATAAATAAATAATTGAATTAATTTAAAAGTGATATTTATTCATGATTACCATCGAATTCGAAATTGCTGGTTACGTCGCATCGAAAGAAAATCGCCCGATTGCGACCGAATTCCGCGTTCAGAGTTTCCATCGCTTGTTTCCCAGCGGATTCGCGAATATCTATCATCGCGATTGTCTGAAATCATTTGTATTTAAAGTATATATAAAATAAGAATTATGACTATCGAAGCGATGGTTATTTACAGAGGCACCATTCCGAAGAAGTTCTCTGCTGATTGTTAAACCCAAACCACTGGCAGCTCCTGTCACAATCGCTCTTTTATCCTTGATCTGCATTTTTCCAATAGTTAATCCTCTTCAACGAAGAACCACCTGGTTCTATAATATTTCTTCTACTCGAAACACTTCCGTAGAATTCGTCAAACGTCTAATCAAATTCGAATAGTTGTTAGAACATCAACAATTTTAATTTCATTCGATCAGCTTATTATATTGGCAACACTTACTGATGCGATAAGAGCGGAGAACAGTTTTCAAATTCTGTTGAAACGATTTTCTGCGATTTTCACTTCGATGTACTTGTCGTTTCGATCTTGTCATTTACGATGCGAGAGTATCGGACACTTGGAACAGATCGATCGAGTTTGAAACATGCAATTTTCACGATTTTAAAGTGTCGAATGACGAGGTCTTGATGGTAACTGGTTGCAGCTCTGCTTCTCGCGCTGATACGACAGAAACTTCTTACTTTTGTGTGATGATCTTCGACCTCCTCCGCGTCATGGTTCTTCGGGTACGTCAATCTTCTCGTATTTGTGTGAGTCGCTCGTTGCAATATGGTTCTACTTTTGATTGCTTCTTTCTCCTGTACGAAGAGATTCGATATTCCAAAAAATGTGCGTTATTGGTTAATTAGTAAATGGTGTAATAGTGGAATAGTTTCTTTGTACAGATTGGAAAATGAATAGCTTTGATGTTTTTGATGAAAAAGATAGAAATTATTGCAGAAGAAAATTTTGAATTTTTATTCGAAGGTATTCGAAGGTATTCAGCATCTTTCACTAAAAGAACCTCGCCCTTATAGGTCAAAGGGTAGTTGAATCGTGATTTACATAGCACAGGCGCCAACTGACGTTCAAGCACCAGTGCTGCGGTGGTTGCCGATTTCAGGCGCTTTCCTCTTATGGGTATCGAACACTCTATACATTGTATTTTATATCAATAGGAAGGTTTAAAATGGATTGTATTTAATTCAATTTATATAGAAGTACATTTAATTTACACATTCGATGTTTAACATTTTGCGGGTGACGATCAGATAGTGTTAGGAATCGGAATTATCGGCCGATAATCGCGGTCTTTCCAACCTCAACTTTAAACAGATAGCATTTCCTAAATTCAAATGTAGAATTTTTAAAAAGTTTCATTTCATTGTAAAACAATTTTTCCTTTCTGTTTAATTTACATTTTTACACGTCAAGTTCAATTTTCCTGACATCGGGAAATTCAACAGCGTAAGGTTTCTGATTACACTCGCTGACCCAAATTTCTCCATTTTTACCTTTCTGGATAAGAAGTACCATAGCGTTTGCTACGTTTTCTGTTCTAAAATAAGGAAATGACACGAGTAAACTTCATGTAATGAAATTAACTGACAAAAATATGAGTTTGAATTGGCAAGTATAAAAAAGTAAATTAATCTTTACTTACGGTTGCATAGGAAGGCTGTTGATTAGTTTTTGAACCTCGTTTGGGTCAACGAAATCGCGTACCATCTTTCCGACAGTCGCGACCAAAGGAGTGTCAGTGAGACCAGGGCACATCGTCAGTACCCGCACTCCAGTTTTCTCATAGTAATTCTAAAAAGAAAAAAGATGAAGCCATAAACATTTGTAATTTTGCAGAACACCACGGCTCTTTTGCACAATTAAATTAACATTATTAGTGAAATTTTACATGTTACAAGCTTTTAGAAGTTACCAGTATTACATTAAAAATTCATTAAAAATTTACTTGTAAACAACGACTGAATGCCATCACATTGTGCTTGGAGGCACAATATACTTGAACAGCTGGGTAGGTAGTTAAAGCAACGACCGATGCAATGTTAACTATAGTACCACCCTTGCCACCCTTATGTTTTCCCATGTAATCGATAGCGAGAAACGATCCCTGGATCACACCACCCTAAAATTCCAATAATTATTTGGTATGAAATAATTTTGTTCAGTGCTGAAATTTAAGCTAATCTGATTACTATTAATAATTTCAAAAATGTGATAATGCTCTTGCAATATTAATGATAATATACTTACAACATTTAACTTGATAGTTAGTTGCCAGTCTTTATCATTCAGTGTTCCAGCGTTGTTAATTACGATATCCAGCCCATTAAGTGTGTTCCAGACATTTTTAAACGTCTCTGTACGAATATTTACCAAAAATTATACAGATATACATAGTATAGAAACAGTAAAAAATGTTAAAGAACCTTCGAATTTTACAGTGTCCGTCACATCGCAAGGGAAGAACACTGCTTTGTCTTTTCCAAATTCTTTTCCCAAATTAGCCACCGAGGTTTGCCCGGGTGAAGTGCTCAGATCGAGTATAGCGACAACCTAAATTTTATAAAATAGAAAGAGAAATTAAAAGAAATAAAACTTGGTAAAAACTCACTTTTGCTCCATTCGCCAACAATTTTTTAGCATATTGAAAGCCGATTCCGGAGGCACCACCGGTGACCAAAACAGTTTTGTCCTTAATGTTCTCCATCATCTAACAAATTCGGTAAATTCGGTAAATTTATAGAAAGAATTTCTGTCATGTAATTTAGTTGAAAGAATAAATTAAAGTATCAGTTTACTCACTATTTGTTCTTTCAATTATCCTTACACTTTTTCGATGAAATGATATGAACAGGAACGCTTGCAATTTTCGAATGAACTTGCTGATTCTGGACGGGGGTAAATATAAATAGTATCGCGTATTTATGTAGTTGAACGCTCTAACAGCTCTGTGTTACTTACAGAAACATTGAAACATTCTAAATACAGATTACGTTATCAGTTCTGTTCTTTTTTAATTTGTTTGGAATTTTTAAAGAAAACAACTATAAACTAATTTAAGCGTCTCGTTTAATTTCTCCACTTGATATTTTTATTCTTTTGTTTCTTGTACATCATTTACTGCTAGTAATTATACGTATATAATTAATGCTTTAACGTTCAAGCGAGTATAGCAAGGTCTGGCATACAATTGACTATTGTTTTAAATTAAAATGGGATGAGACAAGATTGCAATAAACACTTTCAATAAACCATAAAGATCGTTGGTATTATTACGTTCTTACACAAGTATTATATTGATGAAGGTAAAATATTAAATTAATAATTAGCTGATTAAACAGCAGCTTCTGTTAGTGGAATATAGTCTAATTTGGCAATGATTCTATGGGGACTTTCAGAGTGGTATAACTAGGAAATTCAATGGCATAAGGGGGTAAATTGTTCTCGCTGACAAAAATTGCACCATTCTTTCCCTTCTCGATTAATTGGATGATGGCACTCGCTACGTGTTCCGGTCTGTTAACAAATAATCAAAATTTCTTTAGATGTATTGCATTGAATAAAGAAAAAAGTAAACCTTCTTTAACTTCAATAACATAAATTTAAAATTAAAATTTAGACTTTCAGAAACAAAAAAAAAGAAATTTTACATCAGATAACAGTTATCATATACATCCTCTGAATAATTCTTTCGCTTCGTATGTTATCACAGAATTAAACTTTAAGCCATATCACACCATATTTGCATTTTTAATTACGTAATTAGTACTCCATTTGCTACAAATATTTCTTCATTATATTTTGACCTCTTTTAAAATCATTTCTTTTTTTATTCTTGAATTAGTACCTCGATAAATGATTCAATTTCAAGATAATTTACCCGATCTTGTATTTAACGAAGAAAATAAAATCAAAATTTTATGCTTACGGTTGTTTCTGCATACTCTGCATCGCAATAGCCGCAGTTTCTTCGTCGAGAAGATCCATGGCATGCTCTTTCGTCGACATAAATCTTGCAGCCATAGCTGTGGTAGTGAGTCCAGGACATATTGTTAGCATACGAATGCCAGTTTTTTCGTAATAATGCTATCAAAAGGAACAGAAAAATTGTTGAGTAAGTATGTATAACTTAAGGAGTAAGCATATAATTATACATATTTGCATTCTATTGTTATCTGGTTGTATGGAAATTTACAATTTATGTCTGTTTTTTGTAAGTAGATAATGACAACATAATATTAAAAGAAAATTTATACACAATGGAAGGTTATAATTTTCTTTTTACCTTTAATGATTGGGTAAATCCAACAATCGCGTACTGGGTCCCACCATAAATGGGTGCAATGGGGATACCCTCGAGACCAGCCACAGATGACATATTTACTATGGTTCCGCCGTTTCCACCCTTGTACCTCCCCATGGTATGTAATCCCAAAATTGTACCATGAACCACACCTTTCTAATAGAATTTATTTCAATTCAAAATTAAAACTACGTTATGCAACATATACCGTAGAACGTAAATATTTAATTACTTACGTAATTAACATCAACCATAATCTCCCAATCAGCGTCATCCATAATTCCAGCAATATTTACGACAATATCTAAGTTTTCATAAGTGTCGATAACATTCTTGTATGATTCTACAAATATAAGCAGTAATTTACATTACATAATCAATGTTTATTAATATCATAGATTGGATCACAGACGCATCGTTGATCCGTGACTAGCGATTAAATATAGAGCAGCTCACAAGAAACCATATCGAACTGTCCGTCTCCGATTTCAATGGAACTCAGTGGATATATTAAGCAGGTGAAAATAAGAGACACATATTTTTTTATAGCGGCCCAATCGCAAGTTTAGGGGGTAAAATCACCCCTTGAAGTTTCAGCAGAAAAATGATATCTCGAAAACTATCACAGATATAAGAAAACTTTTTAAAGAAAAGATTCATGGTTTCTTGAGGTAAAACAAAAGGTGGTCACAGATTTTGTAAAAAGTGCTTTGTTTGTAACAAAAAATTTATTGTTACATTATTTTAAGAGATTAAAAATTTTCTGCTGAAACTTCAAGGGGTGATTTTACCCCCTAAACTTGCGATTGGGCCGCTATAAAAAAATAAGTGTCTCTTATTTTCACCTGCTTAATATATCTACTGACTTTCATTGAAATCGGAGATGGACAGTTCGGTATGGTTTCTTGTCAGATCATTCTGTTAATCGCTTTCGTTTTGAAAGTGAATTACGATAATCTCGACGAAGGGGAATTTTTGATGAAATTAAAACAGTCTTATCTTGGATGTAGAAAGTACAAGATTACTTTATCACAGTATTTATTCCGCTTCGGAATTACTCTACTTGTTACTCTACTTCGCGTGTACATTAGAAATATCGATGAAAATTGTAATTACCTTTCAATTGTTCGTTCTTCGAGACATCGCAGATCACGAAAATCGCGCGATCTTTTCCAAATTCGTTATTCAATTCGGCAGCTGCGCTTTCGCCACCGGAATCTCCCAAGTCTAACAGAGCCACCGCCTGAAATTAAAAGAAACGTCATGAAACAATAGTGGATGAAACGATCAACTATCCCATCGGTATCTTCAAACACGAATATCCAATCACGATTATCGATTACCTTCGCCCCATTTCGTAGGAGCTTCCTAGCGGTGCAGAACCCGATCCCGTTCGCTCCACCGGTGACAAGAGCGATCTTACCCTCGATGCTCATAATCGATCGTCAATCGATTTCAAAGGGAATCAGGATAATCGACGCGGATTTACAGAGGATATCGCGTACTGTCGCGCGAACCACGGTTTGCGAATATATTCCGCGATCAAGGTACACGAGCCGAGAGTCCGCGGTGGACGATGAAACTCGAGAAATCGAGAATCAATCGTAAGGTATTGAATGTCTCGCGGATATCGCGATGGGATAACGTGACCACGGTATCCGCTTGTAAACAAGGATCGAATTCATGCCGATCCTTTGGAAAAAATTCGGCACTAACGGTGGCCAAGCGTCCGCGATACACCGTTTTATTTCTGTCGATTTATTGAGTTACCGATCTGCGTTTCAGATCCTGACTACCTTCTCAGCTGGAAAATCGAACGAGTTAGCAATTAACGAGTGTGTCATCCTTGGTAAAATATGTTTTAGACGTTTCATTTCTTTTTCGATGCTTTCTTTCTTTTACAGCATTTAATCATCCTTGGAATACAGGGATTTTTTTGACACCATCTACTCTTCTTTGGATTACAGGCCTTGGAAGTATCGACACAATCTGACCTCAGTTTAATCGGACAGATCTGAAATTATGATACTTACACAATATACTTGTTTTCTGAAGAAATAAATTCATTTTACTTTTGTCTCGTACACCTTGGGATCGACTTTCTCGCCTTCTTTCGAAGGAAAATGAATTAATTTAGGGATTTTATACACACTAATCGCCGGTTCCACTAGCCATATACTTCCGTTTTGTGCCCAGGATAGTACATAGCATAAAGCAGGTCCTATTTGATCCTTCCTAAACACGACCACCTTTGTTTTCGAGCTCTATTTAATTTTTGCCTGTAATTAAGTAAAATGCTTACGAGGATGGTATACAGGGTGGTAGGTTGTTCACTCTTTTATTCGGAATTGGTTCTGGAAAATTTGGTAGACCTATTTCAGGGAATAATTTGTTTGTCGGACAAAGGGCTATTAAACGAACTCCAGTGTCTTCTATTTTATTCTCTTTCTTTGTTGTTAAAAGAATTCGTATTATTTGATAAATTCATAATATATTGGTAATTTGGAAATATTGATTTGAAATACCGCGAAATCCAGGGTGACTTCTATAGCTGGCTCTTTTCTACAATAAATGGGAAATGGATCCTGTGGCCAACCAAGGAATCCAAAGATACTTGCACAATTTATTATTGTCCCACCAGAACCACCATTATTCTTTCCTAATAGCATCATTCCCACACGAATCGTTCTGGCTGTATAATTCTATTGTGAATTAAAATCCCACTTTAGATTTGAAGTTACAGGAAAAAATGAATTTTTCTAAATTCAGTACACACCTCATTCTTTTTCGTATCTATACATTTCGTGGGCAATCTATCTTTGTCAAGATTATTGAATAGAATATGAACAATTTTAAGTTTATTAATCGCCAGTTTCAAACCAGCTACAGAAATGATTGAAAGAGTTAGATTTGAAGAGATCATCGAATTAGAAGAATGATTATTAATCTTTCTTATTAACCTTCGAATTGACAGAGGTTTCTTATGTCGCAATGAAGAAACTGGGCACGATCTTTCCCATAAGAATCGCATAACTTCTGCACTGCCATTAACCCTTCGTCGGTATCGTCATCCGCAATTATGACATTCTGTAATAAACGCAGGAGATAATATTTTCTGTCCCAATTAAAAACAAAATCTAGGAAAGATGGAAAGGAGATTTATTAAATAAATTATCTTATGAAAAATATAAACTAACACGAGCTCCCTTGAATAAAAAATGATCAGCTGCCGCGAAACCAAAACCTTCTGAACCTCCTATCACTATCGCATTTTTGCAACAAGTCTCGAGAGTCGGCTTAGTTAAATCATCGCTGAAATTTAGTGATTTTCAAAGTAGAGGCAAAATAGATATCAATATGTTGAAAAATATAGTTTCACCAATTTTCGGGTTTAATTATCTTCAAATCCTGTTCTTCATTCTTCTTTTTCTTTCGTCGCGCCACGTTCGTTACATGAAATTGACAGCGTTCGATTTTCCACGGGTTCCTATAGAGTATGGAGGAAAGAATTTCTTTTACGAATAATCGTCTACATAGATCAATGATTAATCGTCTACATAGTCTATGATCGTTTATACGAGAAGATATCACGTTCAAGCGGCTTACCTTGGATTTTTGCTAATAAGATCGATAAGAGACGAGGTTACGCGTCGTGACAGCATTCTAGAAATTAGAATGTATCTCATTTCCAAGTGAATATAATACAAAGGAAATGAAAAAGAATTTCATTTGTATATTTAGAAACAAGAATTTAGATTATTCGACCGAAAATTTAATTTCAAATGAATTTTTTAAAATTATTATGTCTATTGAAATTACATGTTGATTTTCATTTTTTCTTCCATTATAGTGTGTCTTCAAGGAACGGATGTTGGATGAAACGTGTTTCTTTTTTCTTAGAAAAAGCTATGCGCTTTATTGGCTAGGCTTGCAACATACATTCCGAGCAAATCATAACAAAATCAACAATTTCCACTAGCTATCGACTGTACCGTCGATTAAGATTACGTAATGTTATATTCGAGTGTGTGATTGATCCTCGATATCGACCCCCTTGGATTCTCTCGTTCAAGAAGAATTCAATTCTTCAAAGTCCTAGAAAAATTGTTCAATTTCCTAATTAGAATTTCAGGAATCTCTAAAGTGTTGTCAAATTTAATATCAATGGAAAATGAATTCAATTGTTCCTTGATTTGTATTCTAAAGTGACTTCAATTTTGTTAATAGATGATAGAAATGAATTTTTAATTGAACATTAATTAGAACCAGAGGAAGGGTGTTCTATCGAAGAATGGACGATTAAAATGTATAATAATTGTGACTTGTGCATCGAAGACACCGAGTTTAGGCCTCGATTTCACGTGTCTAAACCTACGTTTATTCGTTTCGTTTGGTTGGTCGTTCTTTTGAAATATTTCTATAAAAAATTACAAACAAATTGCGAGACATCGATCGTTCAGAATTTTAGAATTTATATAAAATTTTAAAAACGATATCGATCAGTACATGGACGTTTTCGATATCTGTAAATATTTGTATCGCGTTCAAAAATTATACAAACGATTCACCTTTATGTCCACGTTTGGCCTTCCATTTCAAAATGTGTCACATCATCCTTATATAATATGGATTAAAAAAAGGACGTCGCACAATATGATTTTTTTAAAAATTGCTTCTCACTCTTTCACGTTTCGTTTCATTTAAATACTTACTATATATTTATTGCATTGAAGTGACCATTTAAAATTCAAAACAACCATCGTTCACGAACGATGGTGTATTGTTGCGAAGAAACGTTGTTCTCAAAGGCTGAAAAAAAGGTGTCAGAGATCCACGGTTGCACCTTCTTAAGGACTATCTAAGCAAGGCTCGTTGATTTTCTATATAATCAAAGAGATCCTTCGAAACTTCTCGTGAAAGTCGCACAATAAGAAAGTGTCGAGGAAATATGTTACAAAGTGTGGAGTTTCATGGGAGAAAACATGGCAATGATTGAAAATTCCAAACATACACGCTATTCGTTAATGCAATCTTCAACTTTCCATAAAAAAAATTATTCAAGCTACGATTATTATGGCGTGGAAATTGATGAAGTAATTGATTTCTTCAAATCGGTCGACGAAAATTTAAAGTTACGATTTTCATTCAAACGAATCCGTAGAAAAGTGTTTCGATCCGATTACGAATTGTCATAAATCTGATGATGTTTGTCGATGAAAACGTGTTCTTGATCCCACGTGCAGTCTGAATTGATCATCGATCCTCCGGAACTCCTCAGCGATTCTGGACTATAATTTCGGTACATTCGCGATTATGGTACGGCACAGTTTACTTGTATTCAAGCGAGGAAGGATCCACGTGATACGTGGCAATGCTAGGACCTTTTAATTCTTCGGGAATGTGATCTCGCGAGGAGGTTGATCCTTCTCGACCAACCAGACGCTACCACTTTTGCCTGTGTTCAAAATGTGGATCAATGCCTTTGCCACGTGTTCTGCTCTGTAAAATTTTATTCTATGTTATTTCGAGTTGCTTTACACGTGTAGACCATGGACTTTCATTCGATAAATTATTTTGGACTGCGTAAATTAGATCTCCTAATCAAGGAATAATATTTACCTTTGAGGAACTGAACTGGCGACGTCGCGACGCCAGGCGTCCTCGTATCTAGCCCAGAGTAACTGTTTACTAACGTCTCCCAATAATTTACTATCTGTTGCGCTTGGACACAATGCCATCACCTTTACACCGGTTAAATCCACGTGGTATTGATGCTATATCAATTAATAATTGATGAAATTTATTTTTATTTGGAAAATTTAAAAATGATTAAATTTAGAAAATAAATATAAATTTGTTTACCCCAAATGCTCTGGTGAAGTTTACGATCGCCGCCTTTGTTGCAGAATAAATCGGTACACTGGCATAAGGGTTGATGCTGACGTTGCTTCCAATATTAACCACTATTCCACCCTGACCACCCCTGTCTGTCCCCATAAATCGCTGGGCAAGCAAAGTTCCTCGAATCACTCCGTTCTGTAATAGAATCTTCTCAAGAAGTTTTTCGAAAAAAGAAAGATCCTTTCGAGGAAGTAATTACTTACGACATTGATATCGACTTCAAGCTCCCAAAACCGATCGTTCATTATTCCAGCATTATTGATAACGATATCGATATGACCAAACGTCGCGATCGTCGTTTGAAATGATTCTAAAAATTAAAATCATTCCACCATATGTAATTTATCTGATTAATCATTAATTTATTCAACGTTACCTTCGAATTGCGAGTAATCTGTAACGTCACACTGACAGAAGATCACTCGATCCTTTCCATATTCCGAGGACAATGTTTCGACCAATTTTTCACCTTCCTCTGCGTTGATATCGCATATAGACACCTGTAAACAAAATATTATCGATTAGTATGTGATCTAACGATTTTATAATTACAGAGAATTCGATCGAGGCTATTACTCGTTTAAAAATAATGATACACGATGAACTCGATCGGACAATCAATTACTGTTGTTAACACGCAATCATTATTTCTGAGAAGTCGGTCAGAAATGATGATAAAGCGTCCTCTTCGACGGGGAGAGATATCTAAATATAAGCCAGTTATTTTCAAGCACAACGCGTTGGAACATTCATGGAGCGATATACTAAGTCAAGGTTCTATCCTTAAAGAGCTTTCGCGAAATAAGAGTGCGAACTTTATTGGCTCTCCTTAGTTTTCTCTATTAATACCACGCTTTTATAGGCACTACGTGCCACGGGGTAAACTCGTGTCAACACCACTTTCCTTAACGATAATGGCACCGTAAAAATTCATCGCTCTATCAAGCTGTTTTCGTATGAATTTACAAATGATCATCGAAGATCAACACCTTAGGAAGAAGGATAATTATTCTGAAAAATTTTGCTTACCTTAGCACCTTCGTTTAACAATTCTATCGCACACGATTTGCCGATACCGGAAGCGGCGCCCGTCACCAGGGCAACTCGCCCTTTTACGTCCATCTTCGTTAGACCCTAATCAACTTCGCGTCTGCAAAAATAATTATTCACAAGTTTTCTTCGGGTCCACTTTTAATGAACAAAATATTGAAAGTAAAGTTGCCTGTAAAAATAATAAACACTTATGAATATTTAAAATGGAACGTCGACAGTACTCAAAGAAATCCACAAGTGTTACGAAAAATTACTTGGATTTTCTTAAAAAGAGATGAAACGATCCGATTTCGTTCCGAGTTCGCTAGGAAGAACTGGTCGTATAAACGACTTCCGGTCTGCTGGGACGCGTGATCAGTCGCGTGGGTGAAATCGAATTTCACCGTCTCGTTATAACCATTTCGTAGCTGACTTCGAAGGGGATGCTCGTTCGGAAATAAAAGCGACGACACTCGACGCGGCGTCGTGACTCACTGAATCCGCTACGAAAGCGTCGTTTTACCACACGCTTTGACGCCAGACTCCCGCCGTACCTCTGTCTACTAGCTTGTCTTTCGCCGGGAACTCGGCTGCGTCACCGGAAACGAGCCTTCGTTTCAAAAACCAGCAACCTTTTCGTCAGACTTGAAATTTCACCCATATTACATGTTTTTAACGAGATAGACATTTCTGAAAGCTTTGATCACTAAAGTTTTATACACTTGCATTTGAAATTATTTATTCATACTGATGAATAATTAAATATTTAACTAATATTCTCTTTTTGTAGGTTCATATGAGTTTTCCTTCACGATAAGATTAACATACGTTTAGATTTGATAAGTGTGTTATCAATACTTTATCTTCTGATAAGAATAACATTTAGAAATTAATTTTCTAGATATTTTTAATACCTTTGTATATAAAAATACAATGATTGTACGTTTTCCTGTGAATCATGGTTTTTATCATGTGCACCTAATTTCCATAATGGAAATGCATTCAGTTAATTGGAGTATCTGTTAGATAAGAGCTAACGACTATGAAACACGGAAGCAGAATTAATTTTCATTCATGGTATAATTTGATTTTCATACTTCAATGTTTCCTGTCGAAAAATTGAAAACAAGAAATATGTAATAAAATTGAAAGCGCGTGGAAAGGGAGCAGCTTCCGCGGAGAGGATTTCGCACACACCCTGGGTGTCTGAATCACCCTCTGACGAGGAAACAGCATCACGCGGCTTCGTTTAATATTGCAGCCAGCGTGACATGCAGCGTGTCTGGCAGCCGTAGATAAACCAGCGAGCACGTTTCGCTGGGCGAACATAAAAAAAGGGTCGATCTAAAAAATTCACGATGCCTCGATCGCTCGATATCCGGCTGGAGAAGTTGCGAGCTGCCGGCTGCTCGCACGCACCTTTCCTCCACTTTCACCTACTCGCTCCTCGAAAACACTCGACCACCATTAAGCACCGTGTCCCCACCCCATTCTGGGAAAGTCGAGCAGTACTCTGAAAAATTCTCCGACGTGGAAAGCCACGTCTGCAGAGGAATTACAAAGAAGCCAGCCCACGGGCATCGAGTGTCCCTGAGAAAGTAGCTTTGAATATTCTTTCGCTCTTTCAATCTTTTTCAACGATACGACGTTAGAAATTCCTTAGGATTTTTGGAAGATATTTTATGTTTTCATTTGGAAGAATTTGACAGTGAAGTATAATAACATAGGAGGATGGAAAACGATAAGAAATTAATATTTATTAATTAATATGTGAAAGGAATTCGAGAAACCAAACTCACGTAAAATTATCACAGAAAAGTTTCTTAATTCTCCAAAATTTCCACCCCTCTTCGAATGATCAACATGTCTATTCCAATTTAGAAAACATATTTTCCAAAATTCTCTGTGCGTGCAATTAGTATCACCCCCTGTATATTATACTTCCCTAATATTTTCAACCAACATTATAAAATCTCTGTAAATTTCCTCAACTTTTCAGAATTTGCAACCTGTCATAAAATCTTTCCACGTTGCGAAATTAGAAATAACAATCCCTTACCAAAAATCTAGTCACTCTTATTCAACCAGTTTCCGATTCATCCAACCAACACCACAGAATCACCGCAAACTTCTTCGATTCTTCGAAATTCCAACCCCTTGTTTCGACCGCTTCTCGTTACAATTCCCCCTTTTTCACGCGAACAAAAAAAAAAAAAAAAAAGAAACTCCACATACACACACCACTTTCCCCCGTCGTACCTTGCACTATCCTTCGATCCGCTGCTGAATCAGACTCCCCGCAACAGGCAGACCGCGTCGAAAGCGAAACGACGGGTCGAAAAGGGTTTCGGGGGGTGGGCGCGTTGTGGCCGCGCTGCAAGAGGGTGTGTTAACCGGTCGTAGCCCGACAAGGTGTGGTTGACGGCCGCGAACGCACTGGCTCGCTGTTCCCGTCGCCTTTCACTGCCTCCCGGTGAACGTGTACACCCCCACGGTGGCTCGTGATATTGATTGGCGTGGTTGCGTGCCACGTGACTTTTACGTGGACTGGCTCTTCCGTGTCTGCGTGTGTGCGCCCCTCGCCCTCGCTCTAGCAGCCCTTAACCTTCCCGTCCGAGACCGTGGCTTTTCGTTTCGTGGCCCTGATACGATAACCCATGGCCATGCTTTCGATCGGCTACGGGTCCCTACGACCCCGCCCTGTCTCACCTTACTGATCCACGATTTAACCCTTCTGGACGTTCAGGGTTAAATTGATCCCCGATGGAAATTCGATATTTCATAATATCTCTAATTGATGTTTTCGATATTTTAGTAACTTTGTATTATCTACGTCAAAATGGATACACTAGAGATAAGATGCGAGATAAAATTCTAACGAGTATCGATTAATTCGTAACACGAAACCATTGATTTCACGTTTAGCTAAATAAAATTGAGAAGGAGATAGAGGATGTGTGTAGCAGCCTTTATCTTTCCTTTCGATTCGACAACGTCGATCTCGATCACGCTCTCGCCGGAAGCGTCAGTTGAAAGTCACGGCCTTCCTCTGTCATGGCCGCGAATCTCCGGTGTTCCGGAGCTCGCAACGATAACCATAGCGAATACGAGAGCGTGTATCCGACCGGCATCGAGGACGAGGAGGAAGCATTTTACGAAAGGCGGTGGTAACGTGAGGGCAGGTGGTGGCCAGCGACCGAAAGATCGCGTGGGTCATCCACGAGGCGATGGACGGCCGCCGCAGGATGAAGTTTAGGAAGCTCTTCCGTAGCCGAATGTCACGGGCCACCGTATCCGCCACGAAGCTGAAGCAATGCGTCAGGAAGCAGCCGACCAAAGTCCGGAAATGCATGTGCCTACCATCCAATTATGCCCTCGTTGAATTCCCCGTGGTCTGGTCCGAACTCAGGTCCGTAATCGTTCATCCAACATTCCCTATCCCTCTTTTTCTCCACTCTATTCTGCGATCGGATGTTTTAATCGTACGTCCCCTGCTGCTGGAACGATTCGTTGATTCTAGAAACAGAATTTAACGAACTTGATTTTATATACGAATCTGATTGAACTCAACATTTTCTCTCGATATTTCAGAGCGAATCAACAATTGTGCGATGGTGCGGTTAGATGCGCCAGGAACCAAGTATTCCCGGTGCATCGTGCCATTTTATCAGCCGTCAGTCCGTACTTCAAGGCCCTTTTTACTAACAGTCTGAAAGGAGGAAAGACAGAGACCACGGAAGTCGCTATAGACTCAGTTGCCGGTGAAATTTTCAGTTTGATACTTGATTATGCCTACACCGGCACCTGCAACGTGAACGCCGACAACGTCGAGCAACTTTTACCTCTGGCCGATCAATTCGAGGTCCTCGGGGTCGTTCAGCTTTGCTGTCAGTTCCTGTTGCAGGAACTTCGACCGGAAAATTGCTTAGGTAAATTAAACGACGAACGAAATGGCGAATATTTTAATTTCGCGAATATTTTTCGTGCGCAGGTATCTTTAAATTCGCTCGCCACTATTTCTGCCGCGACCTAGAAAAGAAAGGCCGGAAATACATTCGGCATCACTTTAAGCGGATACTCCAAGACAGCCCGGAATTCAAAGAGCTGACGAGCGAAGAGCTCGAAGCGATTCTACGTGACGACGAGCTGAACGTTAAAAACGAGGAAATTGTTTTCGACGCCGTTAAAACCTGGACGGAATATAACGTTGAGGAAAGAAAGACCTACTTACCGAGCCTCTTGAAATCCGTACGTTACGGTTTGATGAGCTACAACTTCTTCGTGAACAACGTTCTAGGCTGGAAGATCATCGAGGAGGATGAAGTGAGTATCTGATCGCACCCAGAAAATGAAAACCGATGCTTTCTGTCGAATAAGAAATACAGAAATTAATCAAATCATTGTGTGCACTCAAGTTATGCCAGCAGGTTCTGATATCCGCAAATACATACCTGAGAGAGCAAGAGACGAAGCAAGGTGGTGGCGAGATCGATCCGAAGAATCCTCTAGCTAAACCACGAATTCCCTATGAGATCCTGTTCGCGATCGGTGGCTGGAGTGCCGGTTCCCCGACCAATTTCGTCGAGACCTACGACACCAGGTATCTTTCTAATTTCATTTATTTAGACCAGGAATCCTTACGCGATGCGTACGATGCACTTTCCATTTTGAAAGTCGCGAGATCAGGCCGAGACTCAGGTCCTGTAATGTGAACTTTAGAGCTGACAGATGGTTTCTATCAGTGAACACGGACGCGACACCGAGGGCTTACCACGGTCTATGCGCTCTGAACAATCTCATCTACATGATCGGCGGCTTCGACGGTAATCAACATTTCAACACGGTCAGATGTTACGATCCAGTGACGAAGGAGTGGCGAGAGAGAGCCTGCATGTATCACGCGAGGTGTTATGTCAGCGTTTGTACCCATGGTAAGATTTTTTCTCCTCCCTGCCAACGTATCTCGATAGCTACCAACGAGACAGCAAACATCCCCTTTTTTACCCTACCGCTATTTCCTCCTCGCCCCCAAATATACTCGTGTACGTTTGCTTCCATACGCACCCTCCTTTCCAAGAGGAACTCGACGCCTCCGAATTTCACCCCTCTAACTTTTCAATTTCCCTTTGTTCCCGTATCGAAATTTTGCGCCCCTCAATAAAAACACGCGATTAGGTGGGAAGATTTACGCGCTCGGGGGATACAATGGCCGTACCAGAATGAGCTCCGGCGAGAGATACGAGCCGCAAAGGAATCAATGGGAAATGATACCGCCGATGCACCGGCAAAGGTCGGATGCAAGCGCAGCTGCATTGCAGGACAAGATTTACATCGTTGGCGGTTTCAACGGCAGGGAAGTGTTGAACACCGCCGAGGTATTCGACGTGGAGACCAATCAATGGAGTTACATCCATTCGATGATCCATCCACGATCCGGGGTCTCTTTGGTCGCTTTTAGAGACAGTCTGTATGCTCTGGGTGGCTTCGATGGCTTCAGTAGACTCAGTTCCGGTAATTATTTTCAAATAAAATCAAACAAAATTTCTTCTA